ATTGCCATGCTGGACATTTGATGAACTCTCAAAACAGGTGTTTCCCTAATTTTGGACACACACTACATAAAATCTTAAAGTATGTCATGAATTTGTTCACTCAATATTATATGAGTATTGGTTTTATAAGTGAAGCCAAAAGTCTTAGGTGCCCAGATACACCAGACTGCACCGTACATACAACAGTATTTATTCATTAGAAGTTGATGCCCTGATGGTACATGTGGTACAGGTGTATACCTAAAGAAAAAAGAAGAATCCCAAATTCTTCATGTCCCTTCAATTCTGAAAGTTTGCCACAAAGAGGTTATTAATAACAATGTTTGCTGATGACCTCATAGGGTGACGAACATTATTTTGAAAGGATTGAAATAGCCTCATTTTGCCCCAAAATTAGATATTGTAAATTCAGAAATTATTGCATACATTTATCATTGCTATTTTTGAAAAATAGACAAAAATGCAAGATTAATTATTGCGATTTCTGAATAATCTGTATACATATATACATGAACGTATCAGATATCTTATTATTGCAATACTCACCAGGTAGCATTATTCATTCATATAGTGTTTCCTGCAGCTTTTAAAAAGGGCAGAGTAGTTTTTTACTCAGAGGGCAAATTAAGCACGAAGGACAACAATTTAAGGGCACCCTTTATAGTGATAAACAGGCAATTTCTATAAAATGGATTCATTTAAACATGCTAGTTTAATGCTATAAAAAGGACATATACATCTGTAATCAATCATTAAAACAAGTTGATAAACAAGAAAAAGTGTTTTAAAACATATATATGAAATATTTAAAACATTTAAAACAATTAAAAACAAAACTAGATCTTTAAAAATGTTTAAAAACAAGAAAGAACTATGTCATATATAAAAATATTGCTTTGGTCATATGGATTGTCATTGAAAAATCCTCCATTTTTTTCCCTAAAAAATAATAGAAACTTGCCAATAATTTCCGAATTTACAATACACAAATTTAACTCCTCAAATGGGATTAACTGTTCTTATCTCATGTGAAAGTCAAATTCTTTATAGGTACATGACATTGTCAAGATCAGATACATGAACTTCATATTACCTGTACATGTACATCAATGAACATCTATATATTTCTTAGAACAGTTTTAGGAATTAATTTTCCTTTTTAGCTCACCTGACCTGAAAGGTCAAGTGAGCTTTTCTCATCACTTTGCGTCCGTCGTCCTGCGTCCGTCGTCCGTCGTCCGTAAACTTTTACAAAAATCTTCTCCTCTGAAACTACTGGGCCAAATGCACCTAAACTTAAACACAATCATCATTCAAGTATCTAGTTTAAAAAATGTGTCCGATGACCCCGCAAACCAACCAAGATGGCCACCATGGCTAAAAATAGAACATAGGGGTAAAATGTAGATTTTGGCTTATTTCTCTGAAACCAAAGCATTTAGAGTGAATCTGACATAGGGTAAAACTGATTATCAGGTCAAGATCTATCTGCCCTGAAATTTTCAGACAAATCTGACAACCTGTTGTTGGGTTGCTGCCCCTGAATTGGTAATTTTAAGGAAATTTTGCAGTTTTTAGTTATTATCTTGAATATTATTATAGATAGAGATAAACTGTAAACAGCAATAATGTTCAGCAAAGTAAGATCTACAAAATTGTCAGTCGACCCCTTTAGGAGTTATTGCCCTTAATAGTCAATTTTTAACAATTTTTTGTAAATTTTTGTAATCTTTTACAAAAATCTTCTTCTCTGAAACTACTGAGACAAATTTAACCATACTTGGCCATTATCATTATTAGGGTATCTAGTTTAAAAAATTTGTCCGATGACCCCGCCTTCCAACCATCATGGCCGACTTGGTTAAAGATAGAACATAGGGGTAAAATGCAGTTTTTGGTTTATATCTCTGAAACTAAAGCATTTAGAGCAAATCTGACAGGTGGCAAAAATGTTCATCAGATTTAGATTTACCTGCCCTGAAATTTTCAGATGAAACCGACAACCCGTTGTTGGGTTGCTGCCCCTGAGTTATTAATTTTACAAAAATTTTGCAGTTTTTTGTTATTATCTTAGATATCATTATAATATCTAATATCTAATACTATTAATTATGATTTTAACCTTATTTTACATGATTTCCAAAGCATCAGTAAATACAGGTGAGCGACACAGGCTCTTGAGAGCCTCTAGTTATTCATATCCTTGCTGAAGGGTAAAACCTCAAAGTCATATCAAACTTCAAATTTAAAAAAAAGTCGAATATGTTTTATATACATGATATACTTGAATGGCTAAGTTTTACTATAAAACAAGTGTACGTGAACTTTCTTGTAAGAGAAAATCCTTTATATTATCAAAATCTTCATAAATGACTGCAATTGAATTATTGTCTTACCTTACACTTATTCGCCAATACACATGTATTTTCCTGTTTGCAGTAACCTTAACTAAGAGAATTTTCATTAGAACTTCGTTCACCACACAGCGCAAGTGTGAGGGGAAAACAGCTGTGATGAAAGAATGTAAACAAACATGCATTGGAAGGTTAATAGTAATATCTGATTCTTAAAAAACAAATTTAATACAACATATAATATAACAATTGTTAAGGAAAAGTTTAATTAACAAATGGGAATTCATGGTCAATATATAAAGAAAAAAATACTGTGACCATATCAATTCACTTATTTGTCACGTGCTTAATATGCTCTGTGTTGATTGTTTATGAATGTCACGATCCAGTAAACTTCAGCAACAAACTCAAAAGTTAATAAGCTTTCAATCAACAATCACTGAAAGAAATATTGTTTGTTGATGATATGTTTCGTAATAAATATAAAAAAAAGGTGCATACAAGACTTAGTTAAGAAATAATTCTTTCATGCCATGTTCTATGCTCATTTTAACATGGGCAGGCGTTATATTTGTCAATATCTTTATACCAAGCGTTAGCGAGGTGTAAAGTGTTGACAAATATAATGCCTACCCATGTTAAAATTAGCATAGGGCGTGGCATGATAGAATTCTTTCAATTCTGATAGGAAAATTTAGAACTTTTGTACTTCGAAGTGGACCTATAATACACGTTCGAAAGGTAGCCATTTTGATTTGATGAACCAAAACTTTATAGAAAATCAACAGTTTAACGATAAAAAAAAATCAACATATATATATATGTAAACTTACTTTTAGAATGATTTGATTCAATTTTCTAGCGAGCAACACCAAAACAAATGTCCATTTCGATCTCCGTCGTTCTTCAAAGTACAACTGACATTGCAATTTCAATTGTGACGTCAATCACGTGCAAGCCCATGTTTTATTGTAATTAGAACATTAAAATTACAAGAAACTTGTTTCATATGACTTTAAGAGAATTGAAAACAAAACAAATGCATGTCTCATGATTTCCAATTTCACAGTTTTAAAACCATATTGTACATAACATATACAGATGTACAGTTATTCTGTAATGGCTTCAAAATCTTTGAACCCACAATTAAAAATTAATGTGTCAAATCCCTTTTTCAAACTGCACTATTTTGGGTCTAAAATTGGAAGTATGAATGAAAAGAGTCTAATCCTACAAAAAATGTAGGTCGTCTTCTTGCCTTCCTTAAGCTTCCTACCAGAAATTTTCATGTCTACCTTACATATTTTATGGACATTTTTTTTATTTAACACCTTGGTAGTCTAGATAGTTTTGGTTGAACATGTGCACTGCTAAAGTCAAGAATATTTCCCTATACAGTCTTATGTAAAATATTATGAAGAACAATAAAACCATTTTACCTACATGTAGCTATCTTCATGATCTATCCTATATATATATTTTGTCTTCCATCATGCAGGAAACAAGAACATTTATTTTTTTTGGTCGGATACAGTAAAAAGTTTGAAGGTCACCTTTTCTATCTTATATTGAAAAATTACAAAGAATTATAGGTCTTATTCTTTATTAAATAACATATATATAATCACAACACATTAGTCATCAAATATCAGATTTCTGTAATAGTAAATTTAAACTTTGTCTGACATACATGTACATGCATTTGATAGTATAACTTCTTGTATTTCTGAAAAATTGCATCAACTGCCAAATTTGTCTCACTTTAATATATTCCAATTAATATCTATATAAATTATTTTGAGAAGCAACCTTACTTCAAAAATATATTTCCACAAGATTGAAAATGCAAAGATGTTGATCTGATGATGGTAAGTCACAAAACTTTTTGGGTGTAAACATATTTTATTAAATAATTTGTTATGTTTAGCTACAAGAGTAGATAAATACTAGATATACATGTACAATTAATTAAAAAAATTGGTATTAGGAAACGAGAGCAGTGCTCTTATATAAATCGATCTCTTCATCACAAATGGCATTTTTGTATTACATTGCAAAGAAATTTTTTTTATTACATCACAAATAACATTTTTGTATTACATTACAACTGGTATTTTTATATTAGATCACAAATATTAATGACATTTTTGTTTTACATTACAACTTATTCAACTTAACCATTAATCTATGTACAGACTGTCACACATTATGTGTACCACACAACTCCGTTTTTCATATCACAGGTTTAAAATTATGCAGTATGGTCCAGGCTTATTATCTGCATGATGATTTCTTATTAACTAAACATTTGATAGCTTGAATGTCCCCTTGGTATCTATTGTCTATTTTTAACAGGGGCCTCGGTGGCCAAGTGGTTTAAGTAGTTCTACTACTGTAATCACTAGCCAGTCAACACTGAGGTTGTGAGTTCGAACCCCGCTCGTGCGGGTACACTCGACTCCACTCTTAATTGACTAGGATTGTCAGTTTTCCTATCGAAGGTCAGTGGTTTTCTCCGGGCACTCCAGCTTCCTCATCCAATAAAAACTGACCGCCATGAAATAGCCCAAAAGTGGTGCTAAAAAGTGGCGTTAAAACACCAACAATCAATCAATCTGTTTTTAACGCTACACTATATATTTACAGGATGCCATAGATTGTAATACAAGATGACTGAAAATGCCTGCCAGACTTCATTAAATGATTACATGACAAAGGTACCTAATGAAGAAATACTGAAGTTGAAGGAGGAGAACTTCATACTTCAAGGAAAAATTAGAGGATATGCAACCTTAGGTAAGACTGCTATAACGGTAGGATTGCCATCATGGGGCCTCTGTGGCTGAGTTTTTAACAAATATTTTTTTCAAACTTTCTCAGAAGCTACTATACAGAATGACTTCATATTTGGTCAGCAGCTCAACATTTATGAGTTATAAGGTGTGTGTGTTTTTGAGATCTGTTAGACACCTATCTGTTTTCATATAATATAAAAATGTTGCTTACAACAACTTGTGGATTCTTGATGTAGGTGAAATACAACCAATAATATACAAACAAGGAATTATTTAAATCTGAAATAATTTTGAATTCTGGAAAATTGATAAAAAATGTACGATAAAATTAGAACTAACCCAACTTTAAAGGGTTCACCATGCATGCATGGCTAAGGTTCAAGTTACTTTTACTGATATTTCAGTATAAACTATCTAACCCCCCTTAGCCATGCATCCATGGCTAACCCTCCTTAATTGGGTTAGTTTTCATCCTACATTTCTTATCAATTTTTCAGAATTCAAAATTATTCCAGTTTCAAATAAATCCTTATTTACAAGTGTTAACCATTTTGTTTGCAAGTGATAAATGCTCTTTTAAATTTATGAAGAAATTAAAAAAAAAGTATTGAAACTAAAAATTGCTAAGGTGAACTCATGTGATCGTAAGTTAAAGTACATGAAGCAAGTGTTTGACCTGAGCAATAGCATTTTATTATTGGTTCCAACCCTACCTTGAAAACTGGAAAAAATTTCTCGAAAATTAAATCAGTTGTTCCAGGCCTGAAAAAGTCCTTGAATTTTATGAAAATAGCAAAAAACCAAGAGAAACCCTTGAATTTCTAATGTTTGCTTGCAGGTTTTGAAATTCAGTTATTTCCTGTCAGGAATTCCATGTCCCAATTAGAATTTGTAGGATACCCTTTCCAATAATTGTACATTGTTGTAAGATGCAACATTTTTTGCATATGATTAAAGCACTAAGTTACTGACCATACATGTACATGTTACTAAACATGTTGAAGTCTATCATGTTTTAACACCTTCCAACTTTTATGTCTGACAGTCAAAAGTAATTTATGATTTCTTCCTCTTTATCTTCTGACACCATACTTGATAATAGATGAATATCCTGGAAAACCATGGAATTTTTGATGTAGAAAGTATGGAAACCCTGTAATATATAACATAATGCATACAATATGTGCATTTAATCTCAATGTGCAAAATATTGTAGTATCCAACATGATCACAATTTGTGAAAATAATATACAGAATTTGTTACAAAAAAGCAGTTGCAAGTTATGTTCTACCATGGTGTGGATGTTTGATTGAAACTAAGCATTTAACTGTATTATGTGCATTTTCAAGTAGAAGGACTGAAAATTCAACAGAAACTTGTAGCAATTCTAAACAATGGAGGAAGTTAATAATAGAAAGAAAATTTCTTATTGTGTTGTATCATGACTCATTGATCAGATCAGTTACATTATGAATTTTAAGAGGAAATTTTTTGATTTTTTTTTTTTTTACCAGATTCCTATTATTATACAACACTATATAAGCTTTCAATACTTCATAAATTGATATGTATTAACTTTCATTAGGAAGGTTAAAACCCCAAAAAATTGAATCGAAGGATGTATATTTACAGTAGGTGTTCAATTCATACAAATGCTGATCTTTTATTGGCTGAAAGACAAATCATTTGATTCAGTCATATGCTTTCATTTAATTTCATATGAAAACAACCCCATGTGGTATGAAAGCAACCCATGCCTTATGAATGCAACCCAAGATTATAGAATTATTAGCTCCGCCTTCCTTATTTATCAACACTTTTTATCATTGTTCATGTGCTTCCTGCAAACAATTCTGCTTTTAAAAATATCACAAATTTTATTCATTTGAAAACAGTAGTTGACTATTCATATTAAAATATATGGATAATCGATATACTCCATGTTGAAGGCCGTACTTTGACCTATAATTGTTAACTTTTTATACATTGTGACTTTGATTGAGAGTTGTCTCATTGGCACTCATACTACATCTTCTTATTTATATGTACAATAATGATTGATATTTGCTAAATATATCACAAGCTATCTACTTTAACTCAGCATCTTCATATGCCAATTTCAGCTACATTTGTATATATATGACATATGATTTCATGTGTCGTGAAATGATACTGACTTCATCTCAATAAACATGATAAACAAATTCTGCAGAAGTTTTGGGTCTAAAGTTTTTCTTTCAGATTAAAATGAGTATAACATAAATTTTTTTAATTTCGATTATCTGTAAATATAGAAATTGAATGCACCTAGACATTTCTTGCTCTTGAAGGCTAATGATGAGAGGTAGCAAAAGAAAGTAATGATGAGAGAAAGGGTTCACATTTATGGGAGTGGTTGTTTGAGCTTCTCAGTAATGCTTTAGATTTTGGCCTGTAAACAACAGACATATGTACATGTCAACCTTTTAAAGAATAATGTAAAAGGTAATTTGCACATATATTAGTTTTAATATTTGTATTTTCAGATATTTTTATACTAAACCTTTGTTTTGAAAGTAATTTGAAATAAAAGTCTCGATTGGAATAGTTTTACAATAATATTTTAGGTAATCTTCTTCGTGAACAGAAAGAAGAATGTTCAAAATTGAAGAAAATGAATGAATCACTGAAAAAACAAGCAACTCCATCTCCAGGTGCAGGCAGCTTCAGTCAGGACAGTGGTTCAGAGGGAAACCGTTCATTGAATGGGGACACTGGAACCAGCTATAAAGTAATTCAAATAGTAAATATAGTGTTGCTAAAATTCGTCATTGTAAATTTCACATTGTGGTTTTTATATAATGTAAATTCAGAATTATTTCATGTAATTGTAATTTTTGAAGAATGGAAAAAAATGCGAGATTAATTATTGCGATTTCAGGAAAATCTGCATGCAGATATTTGTACCCGATATCAGAATGCAAGTTCTGATTATTGCGATAATCACCAAGTCGCATTATTTTCGCATTAATAAAAACTTCGTAATAATTTCTTAATTTACAATATTAGGTTTTAAGACTAATGTGGATACATTGTTATTTGTAGGATAACAATTTTTGTGAATTTTTCAGGTAAAAATAAACCATGAGAAATAATGTTCACAAATTACATATTTTCTGCACACTTGAAAATTCAGGCTTAAACAAAACTACTCAAATTAGTATCTATGAAAAATAAAAATGAATCCACATTGTGATTTTAAATATTAGTTTTTAAGGCAAATTATCCTATTGTCAAGCCATTAGACATTAAGCAAATCAACAATTGATCAATTGTATATTTAATTGTGATTTGTTTTGTATGCAAATCGATACAACTTATAAACTGATACAACATAGAACATTTTATGTACCTGTATGTTAATTATTTTGGTCTCTTTTTTTTTCTTCATTGAAGCATGTCATGTAATTAATGAACGGTAATTATAATTAAACTTGGTATTTCCTTTATGGAAATTTAATGTCATATACATAAAGTTCAAACTAAATATATATATATATTACGAGAATTCAGTGTATACAGTGAAATAATAAAAGTATGAACAGTTATAAAAATATACATTGTTTACAATGAAGAAATAAAAGTAGGATAAAAATATTGATAAGTGGTTCAAGTTTAACCTGCTTTTAAATTACTGCTTATCTTCATAAGTCTTAAGTAAGCTATCAATATTAACTATATTCAAATAAGGATAATTATTTTGTTAACTCCACCCTTGGAAAAATTGTCTCTGGTGATCCCTATCCTCATAAAGGCTGTCAACTTTGATTTCAGAGATGGATTTAGGGGGAGGGAGGGGGCCTGGGTCCCCCTTATAGAGCTACATATGTGATAAATGCATAGACTTTTTACAAGTATCACCTCAAACGGTTTGCCAGGGGCTCCCCCTTTTTCAAAATACTGGATCTGCATCTGGATTTATACTTTTAAATAATATTTGACACTTAATGTCATACTAAGTGCCTTGCAGCTTCATTTGTACTCTGTTCTTATAATGCAGATTTGACTGTACATATATTTTTGTTGTTTGGTTTAATTACACGTAATTCCCTAAGGTGCAAAAAATGAAATTTTACACTAAATGATATCTTTGTTGATATGTGTGTTAAATGTTATGTTATAAAAAAAAAGCTAAGTGTAAAGGTTATAACAACAATAGAAGGAAAGAAATATACAGGGAAAACATGTATACAGAAATGTATTTTTACATGTATATATATACTTAAAGATTGTCTTTATAGATATGGATTTATTTTAGAAATCATTGTTTTAGTACTTATTTTAAAATTGTATTGAACCATCACTTGATTTCTGACAATTTTTATCGGATATTTCAGAATCCTGGAGAGGTCAAGCAACAAACTGTTGAATCGGAAAATATAGATGTTTCTCTAAAATCTGATCACAGTTCAAATGGGATACCAGATCCTTGTATTACGGAGCAAGATAAAATACACAATTATAAAAAAGTAACCAGAACTTTGTCATGGACAGACCAGATGTCTGGTGTTACTTATCCTCCCAGCGATATATTCCAGCACATGAAAATGGACAAATATCCTACACAGGAATCTATCAGTAGTGACATTAAATCAGAACTGTCTGATCCTCAAAAAAGACCAATTTCAATTGCTAGTAATGGCATAGAAAACCCTGTCCACAAGGACCACATGGCAATGTTGAGGTCATCGTCAACTATTGTACATGTTGGATCAGATTCTAATTCAAAAAGTTTGAACTTGATGGAATTTCCATCTGAACACTTGGATGACTCTTCTAAAACTGGTTCTTCATCACACAGTAAGGTTGTGTCTGCATCGTCATCTCAATCATCTTCATTCCAGGTAATCAAGCCTGGTATGTCTAGACAGGTAAGACATTGATGTATTTATGCACTGTGTTTAGGGGTTCTAATTTGCTTTAAATACTGTAAATTCAGAAATTATTGTGTACATTTATTATTGCAATTTTTTAAAGAATGGACAAAAATGTGAGATCATTTATTGAGATTTCTGGTAAAGCTGCATACAGATATATGAAAATGCAAGTTCTTATTATTGTGATACTCACCCAGTGGCATTATTTGCATTAATAAAAAACTCTCAATAATTTCTGAATTTACAGTAACAATTTTACAAAAGGTTCAGGACCAATAAAATTTTCAAGTGAAAGGTCCTCTTTAAAAAAGTCAAAGGTCTTGTATATAGCATTTGTGTAAAATATGGATGGTCCTTGATTTTTGTAATTCAAAATGTTAACTCCCAGAAAAGACGGGTCATGGACCTCGGACCTACACTAGTTTGAACCTTGGATGTTGATTTTCTGTTGACTCATTTATACTTTATAGTGAAATTGCATAATTTTTGAACACATCCTGTAATTTCTCAGAACAAAACAAAAAGAGGAAACGACACTGAGACAACAGACAACACCTTTGAGGAGTTAAAATCTTTAAACATCTAAGCTCTTCACAATATATATGCAAGTGTATTGTTTTGTGCATTTAAGGTGTTTACAATAACAGCTTCAAAAATATGTTCATGTGATGTTTCAAGTTTATTATGAAATGTTTCATTATGTTGAATTTTTGCTCATCAGCTATTTCTAATATACCTTGTCAACAATTTTATATCATGTATTGTAATTCAAACTTCATACGATATAAAAAATATACATTTACACATATATATATATAAAAAGTGTTCAACATGATCAGTGTCAATTCTGCAATACTTGAATACCTGTTTTAGGACTTCCCATACATATATCTAACTTATCTAAGATGTTACATTTTGTACTTTTATATTCTCTGGAAAATCGCTCTCCATCCCAACCCTCATATGTTGTCAAGGCTATTAAACACTCCAGTAGTTGGAACAATCAGCCTTTGACACTGTGCTTTCAATATCTATTGCATGGTGCATGTAACAGAAATTTACCAGGAAAATGTTCATTTCCTGTAGTTATTGATTTCTATAGTTGTTTATTCCTGTAGTTGTTGATCATGTTGATTTCTGTAGTTGTTGATTTCTGTAGTTGTTGATTGCTGTAGTTGTTGATTGCTGTTGTCATTGATTCCTTTAATTGTTGATTTCTGTAGTTGTGGATATTTTTGTAGTTGTTGATTACTATAGTTGTTGATTATTGTAGTTGTTGATTACTGTAGTTGTTGATTACTGTAGTTATTGATTTATGTAGTCATTGCTTCCTGTAGTTGTTGATTACTGTAGTTGTTGATTCCTGTAGTCATTGATTCCTGTAGTTGTTGATTTTTGTAGTTGTTGATTTTTATACTTGTTGATTCCTGTAGTTGTTGATTTCTGTAGTTGTTGATTTATGTAGTCATTGCTTCCTGTAGTTGTAGGTATTTTTATACGACCGCAAAAAAATTTTGTGGTCGTATATTGGTATGACGTTGGCGTCGTCGTCGTCCGGCGTCGTCGTCGTCGTCGTCCGGCGTCGTCGTCCGAATACACATTGGTTTTCGCACTCTAACTTTAGTTTAAGTGAATGGATCTTTTTGAAATTTTACCATAAGGTTAAATACCACAAAAGGAAGGTTGGGATTGATTTTGGGGGTTATGGTACCAACAGTTAAGGAATTAGGGGCCAAAAAGGGGCCAAAAATAAGCATTTTCTAGTTTCCAGACAATAACTGTGGAACGGTGTATGGATCTCTCTGAAATTATACTACAAGTTTCCATACCACAAAGGGATGGTTAGGATTTGCTTTGGGGGGTTATGGCTCAAACCGTTTAGGAATTAGGGGCAAAAAAGGGGGAAAAACAAGGTTGTCCTGGTTAATGGACAAATACTTTAGTACAAAACATAATTTAAAGCAGTGTAAGGGAGATAAATCAAATACATCATTGAAATTATCTCCCTTACACTGCTTTTAAATTATGTATAAAGTAATGGTTAATGAACAATAAAGATAATTTAAAACAGTGTAAGGGAGGTAATCCAAATACAACGTTTTGGTTACTTCCCTTACACTGCTTTTAAATTATGTTTAAAGAAATGCATATTTATAAAGGAAGACCAGTAAAAATATCTGCAAATGTTGCATCATTTTTTTTTACAAAAAAATCCATATGAAAGATTTGACACTATATTTTTAATTCTATTATAAAATAGATTAAGTTAGCACTATGGTAAATTTAAATGGGTAATTATGGTTGCCAACTCCATTGGAAATTTGAATTGAGATTATGACCATATCTTGAAGGAAAGAATTTTTTTGGGAAAAAAGGGGGGGGATAAAAACAAATTGTGGGGGGTCAATTTTTTCTCATTTCAGATTTCAGAAATTAAAAAGAATTATTCTTCAAATATTATTTTTTTTTCAAATTTCAAATATTGAAAAATTTCAAGAAGTAATCTTTAATTGCACAGTATGGCGCATTAGATTTGTAAAATCTTTGATCACATTTATTTATTTGTTATGCTGAATCTAACAGTGTATTTAGATTTTTAATTTTGGGTCCAGTTTTCAAAATTGTCTACATTAAGGTCCAAAGGGTCCAAAATCAAACTTTGTTTGATTTTAGCAAAAATTGAATATATGAGGTTCTTTGATATGCTGAATCTAAGCATGTATTTAGATTTTTGATTTTTGGCCCAGTTTTCAAGTTGGTCCAATTTGGAGTCCAAAATTAAACTTTGTTTGATTTCAACAAAAATTGAATATATGGGGTTCTTTGATATGCTGAATCTAACCATGTATTTGGATTTTTTATTTGTGGACCCCGTTATCAAATTGGTTCATATTGAGGTCAAAAGGGTCCAAAATTAAACTTTGAATGATTTCATCTAAAATTGAATTATTGGGGCTCTTTGATATTCATAATCTAACCGTGTATTTAGATTTTTAATTTTGGGTCCTGTTTTTTAAATTGTTCTACATTAAGGTCCAAAGGGTCCAAAATTAAACTTAGTTTGATTTTAACAAAAATTGAATTCTTGGGGTTCTTTGATTTGCTGAATCTAAACATGTGTTTAGATTTTTGATTATGGGCCCAGTTTTCAAGTTGGTCCAAGATAGGGTCCAGTATTTAAACTTTGTTTGATTTCAACAAAAATTGAATATATGGGGTTCTTTGATATGCTGAATCTAAACATGTATTTAGATTTTTGATTATGGGCCCAGTTTTCAAGTTGGTCCAAATTGGGGTCCAAAATTAAACTTTGTTTGATTTCAACAAAAATTGAATATATGAGGTTCTTTGATATGCTGAATCTAACCATGTATTTAGATTTTTTATTTGTAGGCCCCGCTATCAAATTGGTTCATATTGAGGTCAAAAGGGTCCAAAATTAAACTTTGTTTGATTTCATCGAAAATTGAATTATTGGGGTTCTTTGATATGCCAAATCTAACAGTGTTTTTATATTTTTAATTTGGGTCCCGTTTTTTAAATTGGTCTTCATTGAGGTCCAAAGGGTCCAAAATTAAACTTAGTTTGATTTTAACAAAAATTGAATTCTTGGGGTTCTTTGATATGCTGAATCTAAACATGTGTTTAGATTTTTGATTATGGGCCCAGTTTTCAAGTTGGTCCAAGTTGGGGTCCAAAATTAAACTTTTTTTGATTTCAACAAAAATTGAATATATGGGGTTCTTTGATATGCTGAATCTAACCATGAATTTAGAATTTTTATTTGTGGGCCCCGTTTTCAAATTGGTTCATATTGAGGTCAAAAGGGTCCAAAATTAAACTTTGTTTGATTTCATCAAAAATTGAATTATTGGGATATTCCAAATCTAACCGTGTATTTAGATTTTTAATTTTAAGTCCCGTTTTTTAAATTGGTCTACATTAAGGTCCAAAGGGTCCAAAATTAAACTTAGTTTGATTTTAGCAAAAATTGAATTCTTGGGGTTCTTTGATATGCTGAATCTAAACATGTGTTTAGATTTTTGATTATGGGCCCAGTTTTCAAGTTTGTCCAAGTTGGGGTCCAAAATTAAACTTTGTTTGATTTTAACTAAAATTGAATATATGGGGTTCTTTGATATGCTGAATCTAACCATGTATTTTGATTTTGGACATTGGACCATAATAGGTAAATTAAAAAAATTCAAGTTCTTAGACCACATTCTTTCTGTGTCAGAAACCTATGCTGTGTCAAATATTTAATAACGATCCAAATTCAGAGCTGTATCAAGCTTGAATGTTGTGTCCATACTTGCCCCAACTGTTCAGGGTTCGACCTCTGCGGTCGTATCAAGCTGCGCCCCAGCGAAGCATTTTATTAGATGTTTAATTTGGGTCCCGTTTTTTAAATTGGTCTTCATTGAGGTCCAAAGGGTCCAAAATTAAACTTAGTTTGATTTTAACAAAAATTGAATTCTTGGGGTTCTTTGATATGCTGAATCTAAACATGTGTTTAGATTCTTGATTATGGGCCCAGTTTTCAAGTTGGTCCAAGTTGGGGTCCAAAATTAAACTTTTTTTGATTTCAACAAAAATTGAATATATGGGGTTCTTTGATATGCTGAATCTAACCATGAATTTAGATTTTTTATTTGTGGGCCCCGCTATCAAATTGGTTCATATTGAGGTCAAAAGGGTCCAAAATTAAACTTTGTTTGATTTCATCAAAATTGAATTATTGGGGTTCTATGATATTCCAAATCTAACCGTGTATTTAGATTTTTGATTTTAAGTCCCGTTTTTTAAATTGGTCTACATTAAGGTCCAAAGGGTCCAAAATTAAACTTAGTTTGATTTTAGCAAAAATTGAATTCTTGGGGTTCTTTGATATGCTGAATCTAAACATGTGTTTAGATTTTTGATTATGGGCCCAGTTTTCAAGTTTGTCCAAGTTGGGGTCCAAAATTAAACTTTGTTTGATTTTAACAAAAATTGAATATATGGGGTTCTTTGATATGCTGAATCTAACCATGTATTTTGATTTTGGACATTGGACCATAATAGGTAAATTAAAAAAATTCAAGTTCTTAGACCACATTCTTTCTGTGTCAGAAACCTATGCTGTGTCAAATATTTAATAACAATCCAAATTCAGAGCTGTATCAAGCTTGAATGTTGTGTCCATACTTGCCCCAACTGTTCAGGGTTCGACCTCTGCGGTCGTATCAAGCTGCGCCCCAGCGAAGCATTTTATTGTAGTTTTTGATCACTGTAGTTGTTGAATTCAGATTTACAATAAGCATTTCAGATATCATTACCCTTCTGTTATACAAGTCAGCATCAATCAAAGTCTGCACTCTACATCCTGTTTCATTCAATCCTCATACATTATATATGTATCACTGTATTTTGAGTCTGTAAAAATCTATCAATCTTGACTATATGCATTGTTTTTATAGTGCTCCAAGTCAGAGACAGCGTTGAGTCTCCATGTGAATGAAATTATGAATGGAGACCTTGGGTCAGATGGCCCTTCACAAAGAATGAGGAAAATGTTAGAAGATATATTACCTGACCTCACTAAGATAGAAGAGGAGAATGATAGTTTTAAGGTTTGTTAAACTTTAATGCTTAATGTTCATTTTATAATAAAAAGAAATATGTTTAAACAAGTTAACCAAAGAAGAGTGTTTTTTGCGGAAAAGACCATTGCAAAACAACCTTATTATATTATTTTGTTGCACCATTTAATATACAATGCTTAACAGATAGTTGCAATGAAAATGTCAACTTGGCTTATTGCTTTTTATTGGGATGACTGGAGAAACTCCTTTCTTTATATTGAATTGTTATAACACAGCATAGAACTGGATCATAAACATTGGACATGATTCGTGTTAGTTCAAATGAATAATGACTAAATATCTCCAGTCAAAATGATTTATACTTTGAACCAAAACTTTTTCATATGTGTCTGAGACCCATGCATTCTGATTGAACAAAACAGGGATTCTACAATTTAAAATTAAGGACATGTAGTACGATTGCCAATGAGACTACTATCCACCAGAGGTCAAATGACATGAATGTTAGCACTTGTAGTTCACCGTACAGCGTTCAAATACAGCCTTAGTTTACAATGAATACAGACTAATCTGTTAAATTTATACCACACAACTATAGCCTTTGTATGAGGTCGATACGAGGATATATCCACCTAAAAGTAATATATATCGACTGAGGACAAAGATTTTAACATAAAAGGGATAACAACTCAGTGACACAAAGCAACATTCCAGAAATGTTGGTCATCAACAATAGGCATGCACCCCGCTATGAAGTAACTCATGACAAGGTGTACATTATATGAAAACAACAAAATTGATTAGCAACAAGATATACATCTCTTTCATTGATTTGTCTCTTCTGAAATTTTTTTTTTATTTAATGAAATCAGTTTATTTTACTGCAGGTTGAAAACAAAAGACTGTTGTAAGTTTATCTGTGTTAGAAATAGAGAAAAAATTAGCTGCAAAACTAAATAAATCACACACTTTGACAAGTCTATAAGTCCAGGCCTTTCGGTCATAAAACTTTATTCAGTATTCATAGTACAAAATTTGGGCTTAAAACAACAAATCCTGTATTTTGATTGATTGATTTTTAAGTTTGAGTACGATAATCTTACTGAAACATTTTATGATCGCAAGGCTAGAACAAAGTAAAATCAGGTTGAAATGAACATTTTTTAAACTATTGAGTCCATAAATGCATCCAGTGTCTTTCTGATGAGTTTTGTCATCACTATTTCATCAAAAATATTTATTTGGAGTTTAAAAAAGTTTTTGTTTTCTTTAGAAGATGCAAATGATGAATTGAGACAGCGGTATTGTTTCTTAGAATATTTTACTGACCATAGTAAAAAATTATGTGTCCAGGAACTCACATGATAAAAATCTTTGATGAGATCCCTTTCAGTAACAAGCAAATAATAAAAATTTTGGCCTGATCAATGTATGTTTGTACAGACAGGCTATGGTACTTTTTCTAATGTTAATTACTGTAATTTTTGGTTGTGATAAAACTCTAAATGTACATTTTTTAATTTGAAATAAACTCACCTAGTCAGTTTGGTAAAATGGTTATAATTGTTATATTTGATAATTTACAACATGCAACATGTTTTATAGGGAAGAAAACCATCGTCTTTTAAGGAAAGTTCAGCAGTTAGAACTTCAAGTTAATAATGTGTCTCCGACAGAGTCCCTGTCATCACAGACTCAAGTTGTAGACTGGGACTATGTCAGCAAATCAGAATTACAGGTACCAGTATTGTCTTTCTTTTCCACTTAGACAATTGGATTGATATTTTAAATTTGTGTAGAAATTATAATTAATTTTTATATAAATGATAAAGGATAGTAAATATTCAATTGCAACACAGCTGTTCCAAGTTCCAAATTTAAAAAAAAATGATCTTATTTTGATTTGTGTGTTCACACTCATGACAGTTGTGTTACTCTCTTTTTTGGGGGTTTTGTGTGTACATAACTGCAGTCTTATTTAAAAGTCAAACAGATCATGAAATCGTTAAATCTGTGGTCTCTAAGATCAAAACTGGTTTCATTATTACATTGGCCTATTGAAAAACAGCCAAGTTTCAGTTTTGTCTTTTCCGGCACAAAGAGAAAAAGTTAATAGAATATCAAATTATTAAAGGAAGGTACTCATTTTATGGATAATTTTAAGGTTAAATATCGTGTATTCTGTGAAGTTATGTATTGAAAACAAACCCGGAATCGTAACGCTTATATTCTGTTATATCCTTATGTCTTTTGAAATAAAAATCTGACGCTGCCAGGAAATTACATGTTGTTCAAGGATGCATTTAAAATTGATACAAGTTTTGGGTAAAACTACCGACATTTATTTGTCTAATAAATAACAAGTATCCTATTCTAGATACCTGAAGGCACAAGCTACATGTATTTTGCTTCAAAAATAGATTCATGGTTTTTGAAAAGACAAAGGTTATACAAACTTACTTTCAACTTTTTGATGTAAAAGTATTTAAATCAGAGCATCATTACACAACATTTCAACTAAAAACCACAAATAGGATATTGTGGTAACACTGCTATTGAAATATTGTGTTATTTGTTGGTCACAGAGATAAAGGTTTTATTGTTTACATACACAGTAATGTGGTATTAGTTAAAGCATTTTAATCAATACAACTTTATTAAATATGACATAAAAAAATGTCAACATAAGTAACTCTTACAAGCAGTTTAAATATAGCATTGAAAGTTTATAATCTAATGAAAGACCACTGAGAACAATGATGTAGTTTTTGCAACTTGCTCCCAAGTTAAGAAAGAACAAAAATCGATAATTGATTCAGACATTCCACACAAAAAAAACAATTGTTTCATATGAATAATTAGAGGATTATAAATTATCTATGGTATTTCAATAAGAGGTTGTTTCTCAGATACAATATCATTAAAGGACAACCTCCCTAAGATGAGGTGTAGCAGAGAAACATCTTCCAGTTCGAAAGACCATTGATAATCTATTTATCGCTGTTTTCCTATGCAACATCAATGATAGGCTTATGACGTCATACAGTCTCTTTATACTTGGCTGAGAAAAACCCATATCAGTCTAGAAGCGTGATATGGAAAATTATCATATGGGAAGATCAAAGGATAATTTGAGAAAATAGCAATAATTCTTGATGTATGTAATTGTAACAGTAAAATTTGTCCACCGGACTTTGTGTTTCCTAGGTTATCAAGTCCATGACCATAATGTTACCAGAAAAGTAAGTCCCAGGATAAATTTTCCTACGAAAATAAATTCATAAATAGTAGAATATGTTTGGCACTTATTTTCTAAGTAAAAATTTACCTGGGACTTATTTTTTTATTTAAATATTTTCAGGGACAATTTTTCATGCATATTTGGGATAATTTTCAAATTTGTATCAAACTCTTCTAAACATGACTAGATTATAAAGATATAAAATATTTGAATAATGAAAAAATCTAATTTCCTAGTTATAAAAGTCCTTGTAAGTCATTTTTTAAAGGAAAAAAAGTTTCTTTTGAATTTTAATTCTTTAGAAATTCCTTTATAGTAATTGATATTTGTATAAATAGAAATAAATAAAAAAAGATTGTAGTTACAAACATCATAAAAGCCTGTGAAATCTATTTTTCTAGGGAAAAGTTCAGTGTAATTATAAAAAAAAACTCCAATATTTTAATAGCCATTTATGTCCGCCCTTTAAAACAAATTTTATCAAGACTCATTTATCTCTTACATAATGTATATTTATTATTCCTAATTCCTCATTGGTTATTGTCTTTTTTGATGTTGCACCAATTTTTCATTTATAAGTTATGAGATTGAAAGACATTGTTCCTTTTATTTCTTACAAGTTTTCTTTGATCAGATTATGAACTGTTTGACTTGTATCATACAGGTAGTAAATCATATTTCAGGCGTTTCTAAATTTGACATGTCCTTTTATATTTGTTATCTAATATTATTGTCTTTTCTCAGAAAAATAAGCTTACAGAAAAAGAGTCAACACAGACAACAGAAAATTCAACAAGACTTCAAAAACTGGAACAGCAGAACAGAGAGGTTTGTTTATAATTTTCTTTTTCCAGGGTAAGGTACTAGTTTGGTTCTTACCTTGACCCATTTTATGTATTTCTATCACTCTGTGTCTATTATTTGCTATCTTGTATTAAAATTTAAAAAAACAAATTTTAAATTTGGGCTAAAGTCCAAGGTGGCAGTTGCTTTTGGTCAGTTGTCGTCATCCGTTAAATTTAACAAAAATCTTCTCCACTGGAACTAATTGGCCAAATTTAACCAAACTTGGCCTAAATCATCATAAGGGTATCTAGTTTAAAAATATATCCGGTGATCCCGCCTGCCAACCAACATGGTCACATGGCCAAAAATAGAACATAGGGGTAAAATACAAGTTTTGTCTTTTATCTTGAGAACCGCTATAAATAGAAAAAAATTGACAGGGCAGAAATGTTCAGAATGTTGATGATGATGATGATGAGATTTACATACTGTCCATTTACTTCAAAACTAAATTTTATTCTGAAATAGCAAAAATGATCAGCAAGACAAAATTTACAAATAAGTCAACATGGCTGAAATCATCAGACAACTCCTTATTGTAGTTATTGCCCTTTATTGACAACTTTTACTAAATTTTTTTGTGTGTTATTGTCTAATGCTTTAAAACTATAATAGCTAGATAGACACTTTTAAAAGCAAAAAATGATCAGCAAGACAAAAACATTCCATTGCGTCAGATAAACACTTTGTCCAAAAATATCAAGAATGAAACTGTGTTACACTATTCTGTATATCACTTTGTCAATATTTACTTTTTTTTAGTTGCTGCAAGCCAATTCAAGATGGGAGAAAATGTTCAAAGAAATGAGATCTGACCAAGAAAACAAAACAAAACATTATCAGTATCAGATTGATACATTAAAGGAACAGCTTACAAAAATGAAATTAGAAGATGAAACACGTAGATGTGAATATGACAGAATTTTATTAACTACCAAAAATAGACTGGAGGATGAAGAGGTAAAGAAAACCTTAAACATCCCTTTTAATGCATTTGATATTTCCAGGTAATGACTATCACTTTATAGTCATGGTTCTTATATTCTTGCCTAGAAAAAAGGAGAGGGTTGTTTGATAGTGGTGCACATGTCTGTCTGTCTGTCACACATATAAGATTAGAATAATGAAAAAAATTGTAATCATCTAACTATGACTGGTTGTTAAGACCTCATATTCTGCTCATTTGAATGCAGCAGTAAAAAGAACAACACTTTTCTCTGTTAAATTGGTATAGTAGATTATAAAAACACAGGTACAAACAAAACATTAATAAATGATACCATATCATGGATTGCTTGCAATTACTAAAAGCAAGCTGAATATGCTTTACCTGCATTTTGAAATGAAATCATGTTGAACAGTCTGATAACAGTGGTTGTACTTCAGAACAGATTTCATACATCAACATCAATTCTGGACAAAGATGTAATTCACTTTGATATTATCAAATAATTTTAACATGAAACTATGATAGGATAAGCCACTCAGTGTTGTTCAACTGGTTGAGTTTACTTGGCACCATGCAACATCTGTCAGAAATTTGTTGATTACATATACGTCTTAACTGGTTTTGTTGTGTTGTTAGGTTGCTGTCTTATTACTGTATACCTTTTTTCAGATGAACATGTATTATAGTATGTTGCAAGATAAAATGTATCTTTATTCCTGATTTATAATTCAAACATCACTCGTTTTAACAAGTGTATAATTTAGTAAACATTCAAATTTTATTGCAGTCGGCAAAAGATGCCCTTCAAGCTCAGTTAGCAGAATATCAAGTATCTTATGAACAGATGCAGAAGGAGAAAAGAGAATTGGACGAATCATTAAATGCAATAAACAGAGAACAATTAGCCAGAGAGGCTGAACTTAGTGTTCTTAGGGTAAGTTTAGGTCTCAATAAACAGAGAACAATTAGCCAGAGAGGCTGAACTTAGTGTTCTTAGGGTAGGTTAAGAATTAAGTCTGAAATTGTTGTCACTTTATTACATTTTTGGAGTTGAAGATATTAATACAAAGCCTTGTTCCATAAAGAATAGTTTATTTCTTGTAATATTGCTTTTCACTCACATAATACATAAAAACTGAATATTATTCAAAAACAGAATTATAGTTTAAAACTAAAATACAATTAATTGATATTATATCAAGATTGAATAATTAGTGTGAACTATATAAAATAGACAAATAGTGCACTAGTAGCAAGATTTAAGTCTGAAACGGTCATTTTGGTCTGATCAAGTCTTAATCGCCTTGATTTACTGCTAGGGAAAAACGTTAAGACCTGTTTAGACTTTCAGACTCTGTTCCGATATATCGTGTTCAGTCAGATCAGTCGAGTCAAGATAAACAAGACAGATTCTTCTAGCGTTCAAATAAGACTTGATTAGATCACGTTCAGATAAAATAAGACCAAAGGTAAAAAATCTGTTTAGTTGCTGTAAGATCGTGTTCAGTCGTGTTAAGATTTTAAATATTTTAAATAAAACGAGCGACACTTTATCTGTGTTTATCAGGGGTTACTCCCCTTTATGAAGAAAATCGACATAGCTTGGAGGATATTCTTTTGTGGTCTTTTAATGTAATACTGTATATCTATTTCATTAAATAACGTATGCAAACGTACAATTCATTTTTCGCAATAGAACTTTTAACATTTAATTGGTTATATAAGAAAAGATTAATTGTTGTAACCGGGAAATGTGTTAGTCATTAAAACTTTGCAGTCGTGCTTTCTGACATAAAGTAGTCCTGTATTTATTCATTCCGCCCGTAAAGATATAATGACAAGTAATATATCCCAAAGATGTTCTGAAATTTTCTTAAACATATTTTTGTTTCTAATGTATAATTATATTTCTGATCCATATAGAATTTGTCAAAAAAAATATATTCTAAGTATCTAATTTACTTTATATTTTTAAATATTATACAGATGACATTTGCTTGGTGAAAGTTATTTACATTTTAATTAACGGATTATCTAAGCAGTCAACCGGAACGGGTTGTCATAAACTATCTAAATAATTACCCGTGCAACGCTTATGATGTTTTATCCATGGACGTAAAATGAATAAAGTTCCATGTTTTATCTTATATAAGGATTTACCGGGTAAAATTATTACACTGACAAATAAAACATTATTTTTTTCAAAAAAAATGCAACATGAATAAAGAATATTTTAAGAATTTAATTGACAGATTATATTTACCATTAGGTGCCTATAAAGACCGATGTCGATACATCTCTTGATTTTTTTTTTATCATCAAGTTTTTTTTTAGGAAGAACTAATACAAGAATAAATCATATAATAGAAAAATATCAAACAACATAAAAGTTAAGAAACGATTGATAAAATCTTGTGTACGGTTTATATTTCTGTTTCGTATCAGATTTTTTTTTATAACACCAGCGTTACTTCTCATTTAAAAAACAGTGAGATGCTTACTTGCTTTTTCAGAATTGACCAAAAAGCTATAAAATAACGTAGCGAAATGACCGTACTTATAGATTAGAACTTTGTTTTTCCATTTTGAATTGTTTTACACTAGTTATTTTGGGGACCTTTAAAGCTTGCTGTTCGGTGTGAGCCAAAGCTCCGTGTTGAGGCCGTACTTTTAATCTATAATTGTTTTATACTTTGTGACTTGGATGGAGATGATTATTTGGCACACATACCACATCTTCTTATTTATAGTAACCGGGAGCAGTTTATAATATTTTCATTTCGATAAAAAAGAAATATGCAATTCAGTAAATCAAATCTATTTGTACCATATTGTTACATTCAAAAGTCTTTAACTGAAGTAAATGATTGATAGAAATACATTATTTGTATTGCATCGCTCCTAAAATAATGTCCAGTGTCAAATATTACACATCGATGATCACTTAGATGTTCAACTGATTCAACAGAAAATTAAACTTAGGACTAGGATCAAATGCAATTCATTACGTTACAATTGTATCCAATATTAATATTGCTAATAACATTCAGTCGAGGAAAAGACACATGTGACATTGATATGCATTGGTTTGTTCTAGCCTGATACGGCGAGCGCGTGTCGACAAAAAAAAGGTCATGTTAACAAGAGAACAATTGTTGTGAATCAGAGCCAAATTGACCTTCCAACTTTACTCATAAATAATGCGTGCTTGTGGACAAAGGTCACAGACGAAAGGTCACAATTCAGTTTCTGAGACTATTATCTTTGAAAAAGAAAATACTTATTTTTAAAAAAAAATTTTGTATGTATCTTGAACTATTGTATATATAAACCAACTCTGTAAACAAATGTATTAAACGAACAAATAATTGTTTAGTAAACAAACTATCAAAGTGGCTTGGTACCTAAACAGCTTTATGGTGCTAAGAAATATTATATCATTTGCATGATTAAAATTTAATAAATCTTCATTTACCAAGGCTAATAAACAATTTCATAAACTTTAAAAAGAATATATGTAATAAAAAGTAATTTTTCAAGATATTTCTCTTAATACGTAAACAATTGTCACTTCCTGTCCTGCGACTTTTTGTCCTGTGACTTTTCAGTGTCCGCTTACTGTTAAGAATAGGACCTCCTTACCCAGGAACTCCCTTACTAATGGAGAGTAAGCTGTCGGGACTACCAATCCTAAGTGTTAGAGAGAATAAAAAGTACACCAGTCATTCTCAATTTTATATGTTTTGCGTAAAACAAAACGGTTTTAAATGTTGAATTTAAGGATTGCTCGGATTTAAAAAATTAAATCTTTTTCGTTTGCTTTTCGTTAAAATCATCCTGAATATTATGTAATATTGTACGCTGAACATTCAACGATCATGGCCAAGCATGTGTTCTTCAAAATGCAATCTGTAGAAGAAAAAACACGGTTTTAAATCATGAACATTGGAAATCAAGAATCGTGTGTCGTGTTCGACCTATAATCCTTTATTAAATAGTCGAAATTGACTATTAATATATAGTTTTTTTTTGCAACTACGTAACTCTATATATGCGTGCTTTTGCCACTTTGCTTAGAAAAAATATCATATATCTTAATTCTCTTTCAATAACATTTCCTTATTCAATTTGCTACTCGTCTAACAAAAAAAAAATAGACATTGTTTCATTTTTGTCATTTTGGTTAAGTTCTTGGAAGATCTCTCAGGTAAATATCAAAAATGAGTCCAGAGTTTTGACGGTTGTGAATTAAGGATTAGTTACTTTATGGAACACTTATTTCCTTGGATGGTAGTACAAACTTGTATTTTATCCGTTAAAGTTAGTCTGCCTGTTTAATAATTTGCAGTTTAAAGGAGAATTCTTCGTCTTTTGCAAATAGTTTAAGAATAAAATGTAAATTTGCTTTCGATTGCATTCAGGCAGAGAGAAATATGTTTTGTTATATTTCAGACGATTTTAGTACGGATATTAAACTATAATTCTTAATCTCTTCCAATTTACAAATATAATTTGGTATTGTTTTTTTTTTGCAAATGGTAGATGAAACTTGTATGTTCTAACTTTTTCAGAGGTCTGTGAAATCTTGAAAATATGACGTTCCCGGAAATCACAAGTCGCTTGTAAAATTCAGAAACTTGCAGTACGCTCATATCTAATATTTTCTGTTCAAAAAGAAAGTGTAAAATAAGAAGGCGAAAACGGGAAAAAGGAAGGGTTGTTACACGAACACGTTCTTCGCAATTTAATTCTAAACAAATAGTGATTATCTAACTTTTTGTTCAAATATAGAATATACACAATCAAATCTCTAACTTATCCACGCTTGCAACTACCTTTTTATTGACAGGTTTCTGCTGGCATTTGATTGGACAGCAGTTTAATGTAGGCGTGACAATCTATCACATTTATCCAATCAGCTGTCAATTTAGTTGTTTTTTTTTTTTTTTTTTATATAGTGAATTGATCATCAAAAGGACGTTGTTGCTATTGTTGGCCAGGGAATTTCTATACTAATGAAAAAGTCTATGTGTGTGCTTGTCAGATAGAAATAGACAACGCTTATATTTAAGAATAAAAAAGTGATGAAAAAGAAATATTACTATGCTTTATATTTAGACTAATTCACTTAAACTGTGTTATACAGACGAAGAAATAACGCCACGTGTAGCCAGGATAAAAAAAAATGATGATTTTAATTATGCTAAAAATGATATATAATCCAATCAAAGGGGAAGCGTACGATATGTCGGCCCCTGAATCCGCCACTGACCAAGCAAATTACGACATAATTAAACAATTAACAACTTTGTAAAAAAAATTATAGAAAGGCGTCTTTTTATTCCATATAATTTATGATATTTTGTGGACAATATAAATCTTAAATCAGTGTTTCAGAGTCATATCAGATAAAAAAAATAATTGTAATTTCTGCCACAAAAAAGAATCGTATTTTAGAATCACGAAATAATTGAAATCGAATTTGGATTAGTTTTGTGCTCAATGGAATTTATTAAGACTTTAAAATATCTATTCCTTTATAGTCACTATTTTGAGATCGAATTTAATGAGGTTCATATATAAGTATGTGCCAAAACAGAAAATATACAGTTGGAAATCAACGGGTACAATGTACGTCTTAACACTGGCCAGGACCTCCTGAGTGCACTCAGGACATACAAAGTGCACCCAGGACTCTTTTAAAGTCATCGTATATGCACACAGGAAAAATGTTTATATTCTTTTCACGTTGTTTATTTTAGTGGAAACTATTGGAAGATTTTGAAAACGAACTTAAATAGATATTCAATATTTTTATAAAATAATGAGGGCACGTGTCACGGATTTCACAACTACTCAGCCGTGAATAATCCATTCAAAAAAATTGATTGGATTATCCTTATTGCTTATGAATATTCAGATTCAATATTTAAT